TGCTGACTGACGCTGTCAGGGTTTTAGAGCATCTGTTGCTGACCTCAGCTGGGCCAGGCCAGAGCCCCCTCTTCCCTGAGGGCAGTGCCCAGTTTCTGATGTGCGCAGCAAAACCATATTTGTCTTCTCTGGCTCAGGTGTTTTCTTAGGAAAAGTGGTGTTGTTCAGATGGTCACTTCACAGATACAGATACGTAAGCCTTGATTTTTAACTGTCTTTAAAAAACACTTTTGCCGAACAGGGTGAATGTGGACTTCCAGAAGCAGACAATGGACCCCATGCAAGTCTCATTTAATACCCTGGACAGGTCGAGGTCACTCACAGATCTCATCCTGACTGTTGATGTCACAGAGGTGAGAGCACTGGTCACATGGTGGGAGAGACAAACACTGACATACACACACCCACACACACCCTCTGTACCTTAACAACCCAGGAAACTTGGGTGAACTTTGTTACATTTGGATGTAGCTATAATGCAGAAGAACTCCTGGTGTGGTGCTGTGGGGTCAGCACTGGGCCGCAAACCAAAAGGTCAGCAGTTCAAACCCACCCAGCTGCTCCTCGGAAACCCTATAAAGGGTCATTATGAGTTGGAACTGTCTTAAAAGCACTTTACAACAACAACAACAACAACAACAATGTAATTGCACAAAGAAACACATATAGAACCAAAGTTTAATTTTGAACAATACTAGGTAATTTTAGAAGTGCTAATCAGTTCTAGGAGCCCTGGTGTGGCTCTGCTGGATAATGCACTGGACCGAAAGGTTGGTTTCAACTTCCCAGCTGCTCCCCGGAAACCCTACACAAAGTCACTATGAGTCGGAACCGACTCGACAACACTTAACAGCAGCAACCACAATCAGTCCTAGCAACAAGAAAATTGTGAACTACATGAACGGTCGACCTGGCAGAGCACCCGCCAGAGAGCCCTGTAGGACTTGCATGTGAAGCCCTGCCCTTCCAGCGTGGACCGTCCAGGTGGAAGGACTCTCCATTCTGCCTGTGCTTGTCTCCCTTTTCTCCAGGTGGTTGAAGTGGGCCACTTTTGGGGATACAGGATTGATGAAAAAAACGCAGAGGTCCTAAAAAAGCTCACCGCTGAAATAAACCAGCTGAAGTTGGTGCCCTTGGCTATCCACCCTCACCCAGACTTGGTCTGTCTGGCACCTTTTGCTGACTCTGATAAAGAGAGCTACTTTAGAGCGCAGATCCTGTATGTTTCTGGAAATTCTGCTGAGGTATGCTTTTCTAGTCACTTAAGCAGCTCGTAGACCATTGGTGGTCACAGGTGGAAGTTGAGTGTGAGATGAGTAGCCTTAAAGAAGTGGCCTCTATCATTTCCCCCTGTGTTGTGTGACTTTATCCTGAGTCATTATGGAGATTCTGCTGTGCCGGTGGGAGGGGGACATTGTCTATGGCCCTGCACCAAAGCCCATGACTTGCTTGTCTGCAGGTATTCTTTGTCGACTATGGCAACCGAGCGCATGTGAACCTGGATCTCCTGATGGAGATTCCTTGTCACTTTCTGGAGATACCGTTTCAGGTGAGGCTGGCCATGGGTGGTGGCTACATGGGAACCGGGAAGACTCTGGGCCCGCACAGGCCAGTCTGCTTGCACACCGGCTGGACCAGAGTGCGTCACCGTAGATAGTTTTGCCAGCATTGTTTCTAGAGTGAGCTAGAATAGACAGTGGCTTGCAAACAGAGTGAAAAGTCCTATTGCTGCTTCGAAGGTTTCTGGTGGAGGCGTGTCTAAACATACTGTTCCTTCAGTGTGAAAGCAAGCTGAAGTTTTAACTAGGGATGCTTTTCATATCACCCAGTTGATTTCCATGGGGGTTTTGTGGGGACATTGGTGATGATGCACGGTGAGGTCATGCATCAAAGGTATTTGGGACGTGTCATCGGCTGTGTCAGCCACGCCGCTCTGCTTCACAGGCCTTGGAATTTAAGATCTGCCAGATGCGGCCATCAGCCCAGTCCCTGGTGTGCGGTGAGCGCTGGAGCTGGGGGGCCAGTCAGCAGTTTGCCTCGCTGGTGTGCGGCTGCGAGCTCGTCGTCAAGGTCTTTTCCGTGGTGCACAGCGTCATGCACGTAGACGTGTTCCGGTGTTCCGGGACCCAGGATGCTGTCAATGTGAGGGACATCCTCATCCAAGAGGGCTACGCCGAGCTCACGGAGGAGTCCTATGAGTCCAAGGTATGTGTGGGGGATGTCCCCGATGTTCGGGCATCCCTGTGTGTGTGTTTATGGAAGCTCCCCACTGCTAGGGCATTCGTGTGTGTGTGTTTATGGGGTGAGCCCTTGCTGTCGGGATGTCGCAACATAATTGTCAAAAGAAACAGAAGTAGAACCAAAGTTTAATTTTTTAAATACTAGGTAACTTCAAAGTGCTAATCAGTTCTAGGAATCCTGGTGTGGTGCTGTGGGATAATGAACTGGACCGAAAGGTAGGTTTGAACAGCAAGGTCGGCCCTTCAAACTGCCCAGCTGCTCCCCAGAAACCCTATACAGAGTTACTATGAGTCAGCGTTGACTCAACAGCATTTAACAACAACAACAACAGCAGTCAGTTTTAGTGACAAGATGTGCCTGATGTTTCTCAGGATATTCAGGGCTGGGTGTATGGACAGTGTACCTGCTTTCCCCACAGCACATACGGGGGCTCGATGGGGTCCTGTATATGTTGCGGGTGTCGTTGAGACTTCAGGACGATGGCTGGGTGGCTTTTTTTGTTGGTCCCTATTGACTATTGTTTTATAGAACAACAATTAGATTTGAAGGCCTTCTGTGGTATTTGTGAAGGTTTATTTATCTATTTATTTAACGGATTCTAAGATTTGCCTCCTCAAGTTGGAAATAGTTGTTAAATATTTCTTTCAAACACTGTCAAGTTGTGTTCAACATTTTCTTTCAAAATCAGTCCTGGAGTTCTTTGTCTTGGTCCAAAAGGTTTTCGAGAGGCCACTTTGAGGCTGGTGTTGAATCTCTATCTCTGTGGTTTCAGCCAGGTTAGGATGTTGGCTGTGGAATGCTGACCAGCAGAGTGACTAGAGCAGCTAGCGAAGCCCAGGAGGAATGACATCTGCTGTAACAAGTGTGTTCCTCTGTCATGTTGGGGCTGGCCGGAATCCCTGCGCTCACTGTCCACAGCCTCGATTGGCTGTGCACGTGTTGCACTCCGGGGTGCCTTTCTCCCTGTCTGTTGTCGTCTCTGCTTCCTCAAAGATGAAAGTGACCTTCAGTTTGTATGATTTTTCCTCTTAATTGAAGGTGAGATGATGTATGTTCTGTCATGGGGAGAGAAATACCTGCTTGACGGAAATAAGACTATTTAGAGGACAGGCTGCGTGCAGAGAGCTACGAGGCTGTGTGTCCTTGTGGGCAGCAGAAAGAAGTGCCCCCACGGAATGCTTGATGTGTGCTGTCTCATCCTGTCTGGTTTTCAGCACCGGTATGCTGGACACTCTCCTTGGACTTTCGGGTGGTGGAGTCACCTGGACCCCTTGGAATGGCAGTCTAGGGATTCGTGTCTTGACATTGCAGATGACCTTGTGTCACTAGTCTCCACATCGCTGTTGAAACTCAAGTGTACAGTGCAACCCCAGGCCCTGGCCAGGTGATGGAGAGGAGACACTACACCCTGCTCTTTCTCCATGAGCCAGCGTGTCTACCTGCAGAAAGGCTACTTCTGTACGCTCTGTAGGTGAAAAGCATACTAGGCGATTATGCTAATACTCCCAATGTTCAACCACACTTTTCTATGAAAAATGGTGTGTCTTGCAGTCTGCTCTTTTGTTGTTTAAACTCTCTGATGGCTGAAAGGTGGTAAAGGCAAATGAATTATAGTCTTGGATCCTCTTTTAAAACGTACCTGATAGCACTGTCACCTGCACCTGTCTTAGGCAGGGTTTTTTAGAGAAGCAAAACTAGTGAAGCATGTGGATGTATATGTTGTTGTTGTTAAGTGCCGTTGAGTCGGTTCCGACCCATAGTGACCCTATATAGGGTTTCCAAGGAGCGACTGGTGAGTTTGAACTCCCAACCTTGTGGTTCAAACCGACTTTATGGCCTAGTGCTTATCCTACAGCACCTCACCAGGACTCCTGTATCACAGATCCCCAAGCCTCCCAGTGTAAGAGAACGTCATTCCATGTGTCTGTTACATTGGGAGCAGGCCACACCTCTTTAATTGATTGGCTGCTTGTAACCACTCATCATAGAGCTAACCCTGCCGGTATTAGGTTTCACTACCATGGGAATAGCGCATCTCAACTGCTAAACCCTGGGGAATCCTGACCTAGCCAAATTGAAACAGAACCCTAACTATTGCACACACCCTAATGACAGTCAAGAATAAGATCACGTCTGAAATACTGGGAATTGGTCAGAATAAAAGTGCTTTTAGTATAAGTTTTTCTTTTTTCACTAAGGTACATTTTTCTTTTATTCAGCAAAGCCACGAAGCTCTTAAAAGTCTCTTTTCCAAATCAATGGAGACTAGTTATCTGGTAGACACGCCCATGCCATCGCCTGTGAAAGATGATGAAAAGTACCTGATCCAGGTTCTGCTGGAGAGCTTCTCGGCCAACAAATTGGGTGCCCCAAACTGTAAGGTAGTCTGCGGAGCTATGCTCCAGTGTCGTTGAACATCAGGACCACTGTGTGTTTCTGTCAGGAGTGGAGCTGGTGGTCGTCATGGGGTTTTCAATACTGAATGTTACTTTACAATCATGAAGCTGAATCACGGTGCTAGTGTGGCGAAAGATTTGACTGTGGTTTTTTTTTTAGCCTCCTCTCCAGAAAGCAGTATTACTAACTTGTCTGTTGGAGGGAGGACATACCTTAGCCAGCCAGGCTGCTCTCCCTGGGCCCACCCCTCAGCAGTTACTTGGGTCCCGGGATGCTGGTTTGGAAAAGAGGGCTGGGTGTGGGGGCTGTCCTCCCTGCTCAGGAGCTCCAGTGACATCCCCCCGACCTCTCCACAGGCCAGCTGGCCTGGTACAGTGGACACAGTCATGCTTTTACTGCACTGCTACAGTGTTACCTGTTTTGGGTTTGTAGTTTTCTTCAGCATACCTCTAGAGGCATGTTAGTGAAATGTTCGTGAAGGAGTCAGTTGTGTCCCAGGGAAATCTTTGAAACTTTTTTTCCCACTGAACCTTGAAGGAATTAGATTGAGATGTAGTGTCTTTTTTCTTTTTAACGAGCTTGATTGTATTTTAAACTGTATGCTCCATGTTTTCCTGCTCATGGGTGACCTTGGTCAATTCTGTGTCCAGGCGATCCTGCATGGCCCTTTTAACCCGTATGAACTGAAGTGCCACAGTCTGACCAGGATATCCAAGTTCAGGTAGGGCTGCCTCCAGTGCCTTCTTTATGTTCTCCTCCACGAGCACAACTTCTCAGAGACTCATCTTTACAGCTACAGTTTATACTATGCTGTCTCTCTTGACTCTGGGCTTCTCCCCTTGCCCCAAATCTGCAGTGTTCTTTGTCTCTCTCTCTCTCTTTCTTTTTTCTGGCTTTTTCCAACTTTTTATTGTGAATTGAGTAAAGGTTTACAGAGCAGATCATCAGTTTTCTTTAATGTTTTATTGTGAATTATGTGATAATTTACATGGGAGAACAGTAGTTTTACATTCATCCTATTGTATATCGTTCCATTGCCATGGTTACAGTCCCCTCCATGCATCATCAACCAACCAAAGGGTAGATACTACAAGCCTGCCCCCTGATCATCAGCAAACAGCCCCTCTCCCTCTCTGTGTCTAAAGTCCCCAGCTGCTCCATCTCTCCACATTATCGTCTCTGCCTCCATCTCAGGCATCACTACTTCTCTGGGAAGGTCCCGCTCTCCGCTCTTCTCCCTTAATGGTCCCAGGGACCTCTACTCCTAGACTGAAAAGTTAATCATTCCCCTCCTTGCTACAAAACATCTACCTTTACATTTCCAACCCTCACAAGCAGTCCTGGTAACAATTACTGTATCACAAGAGACCCATACGCATTTCATTTCATCAGCCCTTCCTAGACAGGTTGAATACTACTCACTGGAGACTTTACCTTCCTCTGGATCTAGGTTCCCTCTTGAAAGCTTATAAGCCAGTCACTTCTTGCCTTTGTAGCCTAGCCCCCCAGTTTTGGGTAGCCAATGTCCAAGTTGCCCACCCCTGTCTACTCTGTGTATGGAGGGGGTGGGAATGATCCTTGCTATAAGGATTTGTTTCCTCTTTTGAGCTACTGTATCCATAGGTATAGTATTTTGATATTTGTAAATTTATGGAGATTTCTTTTGTGGCCTAAACATGGTCTATTCTGGAGAATGTTCCATGTGCACTGGAAAAGAATGTGTATTATGCAGTTGTTGGGTTGAATGCTCTGTACACATCTGAGATCCAGTTGGCTGATCATGTTGTTTAGTTCTTCTGTGTCTTTGTCAAGTTTCTTTCTGGTTGTTCTATCCATTTTTGAAAGCGGTGTATTAAAATTACCCACTATTATTGTAGATTCATCAATTTCTTTCTTCAAATCTATTAGAGTTTGCTTTATATATTTTGGAGCTCTTTCATTGGGAGCAT